TTTGAATTCGTCTTTTACTTATAAGCACGTGCGTCGTGCAACGTTTGTAGCACGTTGTATAGTAGTTGGGTTATGGTTCCCTTCGGATTCTGCACAAGTTGCAGCAGCGGACATTTCTTATTGCCCCTGAATAGCGAAAGAGCAGCCCGCTCTGACTCACTGAAGTCGCTGATAAAGCCCAGCAGAATGTTTTTGCTCCGCCAATCAGCTGCTCGCTCGCTCGCTCGCTTTCGCAGAAGCCCAATCAGCAGGCCCCGCCGAGCAGCACGTTCGCCTCTAAATCAACCTTTACCCTGCAAATCCAAGCTCCATAGGTTTTTTGAAGCTCCGATTGGAAGTTTTTCGTGTGGTTGTGCGTTTGTGCTTCCACCTTTGTACCTTTGTACCAGGGGTTACTGATTCACCCCGCCTGCACTCCTCGAGTTAGACTGTACCGCATTGCACGGCTGCGGGCGGGTTGCCTACTCAGTCCAGCCGAAAGGCGCTGTCGCCTCAGAGATAGATAATAGGCAACCCGGCCACACATGCGCGTGCGGTGCAGTCTAACTACGAGTAGATGGGCGGGGTGAATCGGAATATTCGCATTTGCTGCTGAAAACATTTATTTACATATTACGTGGCGAAGCAAATGTCGTTTCCGGAGCGCAATGACGCTTGCATGTGTAGGTACTAACTGTCTCTATCCCTATCTCTCTCCCTCCTTCACTCCAGCCGCTCCGACGGCCGGTCCTTGAACCTTTCCCCACTCCGTCACAGTGTCGTGTATCACGCTATGTCACGCTGATCAATAAATCCAACCTCTCTCCCGCCTTGGCTCCGACTTGGCTCGACTCGGCCAGCCGGCGGGGGTGTCTCGTGTACGCCCTTCTTGCCCCCTCTCCCCTTCCATTTCTCTCTTCCCCTTCCCCTCCCCTTTCTCCTTATTTCTTTCTCTTTCCCTTCTCGCTCCCGCTCCTCTGTTCTTTCCTACTGTCCTTATTTGCCGGTGCATCGACTGCCCGCCCGCCGTCCCGCCCGTACGTTGGTTCGTTTGCTTGTTATGCTTGCCAACAGGTCGTAAGGAGGCACTCAGTCAGGAATAAAAATAAATGAAGGCACTCCGGCCGGTGCCCTCCCCGTGATTTGAAATTATTAGTTCTTGACAGTTCGGGTGGGTGGGCCGAGGCCGAGGCCAGCAGTGCGTTTGTGGTTTGTCATCCTCTCCTCTCCTCCGGGGCGGGATGACGGATGGACCGCCAGTGGCGTAGCGGCGGGGGAGGTAAGAGGCAAAGAGAGCCCCACTTCGGACCACCTGTGTGTGCCTCTATCTCTTCCTCGTTCTCATCCCAAAAGCGCCGTATTTTATATACTCCCTGGCTTCGCCTCTGCACTCGGCCGAGATTTGTTTGTGACGGTGTACAAAAACAGCCGACCAGGTGCACGGGCGTGTTGAGGGAAGAGGAGGAGGAGGAAGGGGGGGGGGCAATGTTTGCCGATGCGTTTCGGGACCATACTCGGGAGTGACCAGTGATGTGTCGGGGAGGGACCCGAGCACGGCACCGGCACCGGCCCGTGTGTTTGATCACCTGGAGGTCTGTTTGCAGCACAGGGGCAACAGCGACAAAAAAATAAAATAAAACCCCCAAAAACGGCACATTGAAAAAATGAAAAGGAAGACAAACGCGTTACCCGTGAAAAATGAGGTACCGAAGAAGCCTACTCCCGCCACCTGGCTTTACGACTAGTGGTCCAATATCGAAGGGCCATCACACCACCATCGCGGCCGCCACCCCGGCCCGCTCCGCGGCCACACCATCGCTTCTTTCTTTATTCAGCCGACCCGCTCGTAAAAAATAATAAAAAGGAGCGCCGCTGCCCGTTCCGCCGGAGAAGCGCCGGAGCCGCCGAGGCTGGAGACGGACGCCTATCTTTTTCGTACGGCGACGAATGTCGACGCATCACACTGCCCGGCCCCTCATCACAGGCGGAGGGAGAGGGTGTGTTCTCCAGCAGCTCCACAGCATCCCGCCGGCGGTCATCTGGTCCAGCGGCACGGGCGCGCGCCGCGCGACCCGCTTGCTCGCTGCTGGAGGAGGTCGCCCGGGCTCGCTGCACCAATGACGTCCAGCTGGCCGGCCCGCTCCAGAGGCCCCTTCTGCCCCGCACTGCTGTGTGCTCGCGCGTTCGCCGAGCTCCATTTTATTATTCCTGCGGCTCTACTACCCGCCCCTTCCCCCCCTCCGCTCAATCCTTTTCTTCTCCCCTGATGCTGCTGCTGCTGCCACTGCTGCACTCCACAACAATAGCGATGCAGCGCGCTGTCGAGCTCAGGTGAAACACCTTTCTCCCCCTCCTCCCTTCCCCTCACTTGTCTGTCTGTCTCTCTCTCTCCGCCGCAGACCAGAGCGAGGATGATTTCGTTTAGATGACGCGGCCGTGATGTGTGGCGCGGGGCCGGTTCGGTCGTGACTCTGTTGTTTGCCCCGCACTCACTCTGTCACGGTGCAGCAGCCGCCGTCCCCGCGTGCGGCACGACATTATAATATCACGACCATGAAAATAATCGCGATAATCGGCCGGTCAGAGAGGAGGGAGTGAAACATTGTCACAACTGCAACGCGATGCAACAATGATGCGTGATGTCGCGTGAGAACTTTGGCGCTGCGCGCGGGTCCTTGCTGCGGGGCTAATGTGTGCACTTGTGACACAAAGTACCTGCTGTTGTGCAGCTCACAAACACATTATCAAATTGCTTTGTAAGCCATGGAGAGCAAAAACGTTTTTGTTTCACGAAAGCTCTGTCAAAGTGTTCCGCGCAGCTTATACAAGCTAATTTGTTTGCAAAGGTTCAGCAGTGTGAGTCGTCTCGTCTCGCTCCAGCCGCGAGTCTATCTCAGCCATGGCGGACGCAGTCGCGGCTCTATGGAGTCCAAAGGAGCGCTCACGCACGGACATGCCTGTGCACACGCGTGTTTGAATACTCGCGCCACGCCCCGCTCTCGGCCCCCCAAAAAACTGAATGGCCTTCGTCTTGTCACAGCTGAGCTGGCTGACTCGCGTCGTGCGCCGCCCGTAGTACTTGCTGGAGCAGCAGGAGACCGTTTTCCAGCAGTGTCAAGCGGTAGTCGCGCGAGAGGGGGGAAAGGGGGAGGGGGGGGTGGCTGAGACGACGTGAGCGGCTCGGCTCGAAGAGTACCCGCCCGCCCGGCCGCACAAGAGCAACGACCTCTTTAAACTTGACTCCTCCTCTTTCTTCCTCCTCTTCGCCTTCTTCTTGTACTACGACTACTACTACTATACGCCCGCCAGGGTTGGCCGCCGCCGCTCCGTTCTACCGCTGGAGGAGGAGGAGGAGGAGGTGGTGGTGGTTGTCGTGGTGTTGTTGTTGTGTCCGCCCGCGTCAAACGCGAGTGAAGTGAAGAGCAGACGCTCATTATCGCCATTGTTGTGATTGTGGCGCACACACACGTGCGGCTGCAGTGACACACGGGCGCCAGAGGTCAAAGGTCGGCAAGTAAACGAACTTGGCCACCATGGAGTGAAGAAGCCAGCCACCCGTTATATTCACACCTACGCTACTTTCTATCTGATTTTCTTTTGGCCGAAATAAGTTTACCTCGGTGTCGTGGGTCACTCTGTTGAAGTTGGTGTGCAGTAGGATTCATCATTTCGTAGCTCGTTTTGTTTGCAACGACGTCAGTTTGAAGTGCGCCTGCGGCGGCACGGTGCGGCGTGCGGCGGGCGGGCGCGCGGGCGCGCGGGCGGACGCCGGGTCGGACGCAGGCTGGGCCGCCCGCCCCGCGCGGCTGTGCGGCGGCTCTGCCTACCCGCCCGCCTGCCAGGCGTCCGGCCGAGCGGAGCAGCAGGCCCGCCGCCCCGGAGCAAAGGCGCGTCTCATTATACGCGTCAACGCGACAGCGAGAACAGCAAAGCAACATAAAAACAAAAGCCGGACAAAACACAGTTTCCCTCTCGCGAGGAGGGTGCGGTTGGACGACGCCCGCGTCGCGCGCGCCTATAGCTTTTGATGCGCGGTCTTCTGATCCTCGCGAGACCGCTGCCGGGCTTTAGCACACACGACTTGATCGGGGGCCTATCTCC